TACAACTTAATCCATTCCAAGAAAGTGCACAATTTCAAGCACTCACAAAATGCGACGCCACTAGCGCTTTCTATTATTGTATCTCCAACAATTACCACTCTTAGGTTTTACCAGTTCTGTTTTGGTTGTTATTTACTCAAATCACAGAGAAATTTCAGCTCTGCATTGAATTGGATAAGCTGCCTCCTTATTGTCAATAGTTCAATATCATGCATAACAATTTTTAAACTCGTACAAGAATTATTTCACATTTTATTGATCATTCTATCCAATCTTAACAATAAAACAGTCGCCTTCATCATCCAGCAGTTGCAGCCGCATGATCTGGGTTATTGGGATGCTACTCTATGCGCACCTAAATCATACCCATTAAATCTGACATGATTCCCGTCACTAAATAAATAAACATACAATTCAACCTAATGCCTTCGAAATTCTGCGAAAGCAATTCGAGAAATCAGAGTAAGATCTGGATGTCTCTATGCTTCCACGAATTTCCAAACCAAACCAGCACTCAAAAAAACATCGATCCTCATGTCTCCAAAACAAAATACACAAAAATCATTAATATTCCAAATAACAGCATGATAGATATGATAAACACATCAAATTTTCAAAATGTAATCATAATAACATAAAGTAGCTCGTAGAGAGATTCCGCAGCGAACTTTAACACTAAAAGAAAAAAAAAAAAAAAAAAAAGAGGTCTCACCTCGTAGAGAATCTTTTTGACTCGGAAATCTGTGTAACTGCTCCTTCAAGGAATTTGATTCAAGTATGCAAACTTGGATTTGGGATACGAGAGATAAATTTAGAAAAAGAAAAACAAATGTAAAGAGAGATTTGAAATTTAATTCAATTCAACTATTGCAAGCGACTCGTTGTTTGGGTTGCGTACAATTGGGACGCTACTACATCATAAGATATTGAAGATTTTGTTTTACCATATATATTAATACCAAATCTACATAATTAATTTTTTATTTTAGTTTATAATGAATATTATTTTTTTCACCTAACTTAAAACGTTATTTTATGTAATTATTAAAACCATGTTAAAAAAATGATTTATAATCATCATAAAAAAAATAATCCATTGTTAATAATATAATATAATTAGATTATTAGATTTTGACTTACTCGTTCATTAAATTATTTTTTAAAATATATTTAATAATAAAATAATTAATTAATTCAATCATATACCAAATAAAATATTTATTATAAACTAAAATAAAAAAAAAATTAATGTTGTAGATTTGGTATTAATATATTGTTACAAGGATGGAATTCTATGAAATCTATAATTTTTAACAATATACAAACTAATTATAGTCACAACATGAATTCTAATGTAATTTGTGTCTTCATCATCGTATCTCCTTCACGATAGCCATGTGAATCCCAATTAGCTTGTAAATCATGACATTGTAAACTATTTCATTCTCTTATTTAAACTAGAAATTGGTAATCAATCTTGTGAATTTTTATTTGTATGATTCACTGTCTCTCCATGATTAATCATGTCTTCTAACTTTTGTAGACAATATGATATTTAATTTTTATGATCGATTATTATTTATCTTTCTTGACTGATTTGAACTCTTTTTAGACTTGATAGATTTATTATTAATAATTAATTTTAGTTTTTATTTTTTTATATGAATGTTTATTTTATATAAATAATACCCCCTCTTATATTGCTTTACTTTAAAACAAATAAAAAAATATCTTTTATTATTAATATGATAAAATTAATAAAACATACTGACCATAAATAACATGATAAATAAGCATTGTTGTAAAAAAAAAAAGTTAACTATATCAATTTATCTAAGATGTAAGCCAGTTAAATCAATTCAAATAAACATACTCTAGCTATTTAAGCATGACAATTAGATTTTCTAAACTACAATGTCTAAAATGTAATTGTTACTTAGCTTTGCTCACTCTCTTTCATAAAAAAATCATAAATTTTTGGAAAAGAAGTGAGACATAAACCTTAAGTTTTCCTTCTCTTTTTAACTTTAGAAATGGTACCTTCAATTTATGTTCATACCTTTGTAACTTATTTTCAAAATAGTATTAATTGTATTCTTGTATAAATTGATATGTTATTAATAAATACATTAATAACTATGACTGAAAAATACCTCAATTCTTTCTAAAAAGAAATCTCTAATGAAAGAAACAATCTATTTATTAAAAGAGAATGGTCTTACTTTCAAAACTATCACATAAACCTTAACATTAGGGAAAAATATATTTCTTTGTGGCCTAGAATTTCTATTACAGACTATATTGATTAATTAAATAAAATATGGCAATGTTTTTGTGAGAAATTAAAATGCTAGAAATTTTTTGTCTAGATTCAAATGTTGAGTTTCTTAAAATACATGAATATAGTCATAACACTAATTTGGTAAGGGGATCACCATGCAACGACTCATATAGGCCATGGACTAGCATACATTTAGTGTATGTTAGGATCCCGCGTAAGAGAATCATTATGCATGGACTACCATACATTTAGTATGTGTTGGGATCCAAGGTAAGGGGATCACCATGCAACGACGCCCATGGGGCATGAACTAGCATATATTTAGTGTATGTTATGATCCTGGATAAGGGGATCACCATGCATAGACTAGCATACATTTAATGAATATTAGGGTCTTAAGTAAGGGGATCAACAAGCATCGATGCCTACAAGGTAATGATGATACATGTGAAATTGATATTGACAATGAGTTAGGGAGAAATAGTTATGGTTGATCTTATGGATTCTTGAATGGAAGTTAAAAATAATAGATAAAACGGTTTTAATAGTTAAATGAAAATGCGTTTCAATAGAAACAAAAATGGAGAAGTGAATAGAATATGAATTTATGTTTGTCTTTTTAAATTGTTGGATATTTGTGTTACTATACTTATTGTGATATTCATGTTTTAATATTATGTATTTTGTTTCAGAACCATTGCATGCACAACAGAAGTAAATCCTAACTTTTGTTCACTTTTTATTATGTAGTTCTAGGGAATATATCATTATATTTTGAAATAGATGAACTTAACTCTGAAATTCATATAATCATGTTTTTATGTATTCGTGTTTTATCTCATTTATTCCTCTATAATGATATTTTTTGTTTAATGTATATTATAAATATTATGGTTGTGATGATGATGATATTGTGGAATTGAGATCCAGGACGATTAGGTTGTGATTGAATTATTAGATGTAAAATATTAGAAGTGTAAAAAGGATATATATGAATAACTTGGGACCTCCTAGTATAAAGGAAACTTTGTCAAAATTTTGATGAAAATTTCAGTAAACTTTTATATGAGAACTAAAAAAAAAATCACTTATATTTTTTATACCAAATCATAGAAAAATAATTATAAATGCATATCAAAGTATAAGGTGATATATTTACCATCTTAGATATAGGTCACTTTTTTATAGCCTTAACCTTAACCTTATTTATTTTAATATTTTTTAGGATTGTTGAATTTTCATGGTATAACATTGAAGATTGTTGAATTTTCTCATGGGAAGAGATTTTATATGTTGAAACTTAATTTAAAAACAAAAGTTTTGATCTTAAAATTAGAAGTCGAAGAAAGCCCCATAAAAGTTCAATAATATACAATGAATTGAGAATGGAAAAATGCTAAATTCTACCGTTGCATCTTTCTATATAGTTAGTTGATCAAGAAAAGAGAATTAAAAAAATACTAGATTAAAGTGCACATAGTGGAATTGATATACTTACATAAAAGGAACAAAAATTTACAACCATTGACAATCATTATTTTTATCATAAATTTCATCATAAATTTCATCCGAGTAATCAACATTATTTATAGCAATAACCTTAAATGTACTAATCCTAAAAGAAGTTGATCGAATCTTGAAAGGTAATCTTGCATTGTTGCTAATTGCAACATTATTACATTTTTTTTAAAAGACAATGAAATTTAGAATTAATAATTAAATTTAGTAGAGATGTAATTGAATGTAATTAAAAATGGAGAGATAATTAAAGGTACAATTAAAAAGAATTAAAAGAGTAAGGACCAAATTGAAACTAGTTAAAACACAAATTAGAAAACTCTAAGTTCTAGGGTTTAGCCTAGACGATGTGTTGTTCGTCCATTATTCATCTCCCTCTTTAACAATTTTGAATGATGAAGTGATCACATTCAAACGAATAAATATGGTGTCTTCAACAACCTTAGGGGTTGTAATAGCCACCATCCAACTAAAAAACACCTCTTCTACAACCCAATACCTATTAAATTAGATTTTAACATATTTTTTATTTAAGAATATATCTCATCTCGGTCCACTTTTAAAAGTTATTATACATAATAGTTTAAATCTATAAAATTAAATTTTTTTCCTAATCATTCAACATTACAAATTTTATTTTTAAATTAACCAATTTCATCAAGTAAATTTTTTAATATTTTACTAATAACGTAAAATTTTAAAATTTTAATTGGGATCTTATGACCCAGAAGCTTTATCTCCTTTTCATTTTTAATGTCAAAAATAAATATTTAATAATAAAAAATCTCATCCCAACTATTTATTTCTATTTTTATTTTATTTTCTCATTATTCAATTTACAAGATGAGGTTTTCCGTCGGGATTTACAAGCTTATAAGATTTTCTAATGGGGGGTTTAATGGAAAAAAGGTAATATTTGAGTCATATTTTACAAAAGTTATCTAATTGAGTATGTGTTTATGTATTGGTGTACAAGAAAATTATTAATTTATATATAAGTAAGAACTATGTGTTTATATATATATATATATATATATATATTACCGATTTAATGAATTATTAATTTAACCCGTTGATCTCAGGTTGAGAATAGTGAAAAATATTATTTAATCAAGATGGGAGTTTTAATTTATCAAGGTTATAATATATGCTTTATTTAAGTTCAATTACATGTATACCGTTATCCATTACCATTACTTGGAAAAAAATCATGTATAGATCATGGGGTATATATCCTTGAAGAGGAAAGAATTCCCTACCCCCAGGGAAGCAAGCACTCCTATCATTCTACTGCCAAATATAACCCCAAGACAGAGTTCTACATTTATGATTACTGGTGAGCTCCTCTGTACAAGCCAAAAACTCACTCGAATAACCATACAAATACATAATCTTTTTAGCACAAAAAAGGGAAAAAGAAAAAAAGAACCTTGTAAAAAAAATAATTAAGAATCGCACACTGTGAAGAAAGCTTGATAAAATCTTCAGTTCTCTATTGTTGCCTTGCCCTCTATTTTTCCAGTTCTTGTTTACAGAGAGGGCAGCAGGATATAATTCGAAGCCATTGATCTACACACTTGAGGTGAAACATGTGGGAGCATGGCAGTTGCCTAACTTCTTCTATGTCTTTATAATTGTCTAGGCATATACAGCATTCCTGTCAATATCATGACACAAATGTAAGAAGAAGAAAGGAGAAATCATTAGGAAGATGATCATCCATGGCTTTTCAGCTCATGCTCTGATTGCATGCTGATAGGGTAGTTTAGCTACGTGTATTTACAAAACAGGACTTACCAGATCTTCACTTGCAACGGTTGAATCACAATCAACACTGTTGCGAAACTCTGAATCGGTGACAACAGCTTTGTACCTCCGGCTTGGTAGTCTGGATATTTGGTCATCGGACGCCCCTCTCTCGGCAGACCCCATGCTCATGTTGTAGCCAATGACAGTGCTAATGAGTGGCACACAACAGCATAGCAGTAGAAACAACAGAAATGGAAATGAGTAACTTAGAGCATTCCAGGCAAGCAGAAAGATGCAGAGCACATGGAGTTTTGGAGCACGGAAGGAGGTTCCAAAACGAGAATCGAAGACCCAAACATTACCCATCACAAACCATATCGCAAAGAAGAGTTCCAGTGAGGCCCGACACTTGTTCATCAAATGTGAGTACCTGCATACGCTATATATATATTAATCAATAGGAACACAAATAGATCGAAAAAATATTTTTATCATTCTATTATATCAGCACTATAGTTCTGTCATTTTACTCAATCTTTGACATAGAAATATGGTGATTTTGATGATCTTCATCCCTCTGCTACTATTAAATAATTTTTTGTTGCTTTCCCTATAAAGTAATTTGTTTATTTAATAGCAACCTTTGTGACATTGGTTATTCAACTTGAAAGCAAAATTCAGAATAAAAGGATTTGCAATGGCCGATTTTATTTTTTTTTAATTAAAAGCCATCAAAGTTTTTTTGGTTATAGTAACTAAAATTATTATTTCTGCAACAGCGAAGTCTGATCAAGAGATTAAGAAGCACCAATTCACTACCCAAAGCCATGCAGAAAAGTTTTATTTGCTAAATTAGAAAAGTTCCAGAGCATAGCCATCAGGAAATTCTAAAGGCACTGATGATCCCGAAGCTATTTGCTAGATCACACAGAGATCACGCATCGTGATCATACAGAGATCATGCATCCTTTTCCTGTTCTTTATGCTGCTGGAAATCTATTCCTCGTCAGCCAAAATTCATATTACTCGCATCATATTATGTAGTAACGCTTGAATACCAATAAATTTTCAGCATAGATATAACTTGGGATGAATAGCTTTTAACAAAATACCTGGATTCCTCACTGCCCCCCTGTTGCTCCAAATCGGGTAGGCCAAAACCATCGCCTTGAGTTGCATTAAGTTGCCGGTAACGTCCATAAAGAAGCAGCAGACTGAGGACACAACCGATATTATACCCAGTAATCCATATTCTCACAGGCCAAACAGGGTTCTCCGCCTTCGAAATAGCCAGGGTGAACGTGGTAATGCATATTTGAAGGAGCAAAGCTACGAACTCCAGCATCATCCAAGAGCTAGAATTGAAAGGATTAGACCCAAGATTAGACCTTGAGCCATTCTGGTAATGGAATACTCTCCTCAAGAAGGTGAACCATCTTGCTCTAGATATTCTCATCGCTGTTCTTACGAATAATGATGACGGGGCAACGCGAGGAGACCTGTTTCTGAGAAACGCAGTTCCATGCTCTTCTCCTATTGGAGAATTTGATGGAAGTGATGCTGCAGGACTTGAACTACGGAATGAATCTGTTGGAAAGGAGTACCGCGTATTCATGGGGAACGTTTTAAGCAGAGATTTTCAGGTACAAGCCTTTGGTTGGCTCAAATAATGAGATGGTTTTCAGGGTTATCTGGAATTCGAACGCCAGCATGAATTCTATATATGGCACTAATATAGAAATCACAAAATTTCTATTATTGGGTATCAGACAGAGTAGACAAACAGCAAGTTTTGATTGAAAGCTTTAGATTTCAGCAAGGCAAAAAGGCAAATACCAGAGCATGGTGTGGCCAGAGATGGCTCCAATTTCTTGAAAGTTAACAACACTATATTTTAACCGACTGGCTCAACCTTGAAGCACAAACAAACTATAGCTTCTTCATGTTCGATACAGCTCCTCGATTGAAGAACACTACTTGGTTTGCACCAGTTTTAGAATCTCTCGGGGCTTCAATCTTGACCAAAAAGAAAAAGAAATAGAAATACATACCATCAAACTTTACAACCGTTCGAAACTTAAAAAGGGTATTTTATCAATAGACCAGGACTTTTCCCTCAAAAACCTTATAGCTTTAACCAAGAACACAAAAAACACACCAAAGTGGAAAAACTGAAGTGGGCATTTATTTAAGCTTGGAGGGCAACATAGAGAAAGGAAGTTAGAGAGATGGTTGTGGAGTGAATATGACAGGAAGGTGAAGGTTGGGTTTCAGATGGTGACCAAGAATCAACTGCAAAAGCCAAAAGAGCTTTGCTTTGATATCAAGGGAGTAAGCTTTCTTTCTTTTTTCTTTTGCTAACCGTTGGCCTAACTCCCCTCTGGTTTTTGATTATCAAGCAATCAAAGCTAAGCTGATAACAGACAAGCTAGCAACCACTGCTTCTTTGCGACACAAAATGAGGACTGGGATATTTTTTTTTCCAGTTAATGTCTACTTTTCTTTGATGAATTGGATAAAAGTCTATTAAATTAAGTGCCGTGTTGATATTTGTTTATTGAAGTGTTAATAAAAGGAGAGATTTTGAAGCATAGCGGGCACAGTGATCGGGGGATTCTAAATCCATGGTGAGAGGTTGGCCACCTAATCCAGCTAGCAACTTCTTACCATATTTGAGGAGCAGTCCCCTCTGTTTTGTCTTGCTTTTACTTCCGCTTATATCCCCCAGCCGTCCTCCTTTGCGGAAGCATTTGGTCTTCTAATGCTGTGCCCATGCCCGTGATCCTTCGAATGTTGTCGTCTCCTCTTCTTTCTTTCTTCCTTATTTCCAACTTGTTGACTCTCGAGATCTTTTGTCAAGTCAGTAATTCATTGCATGAGCACCAACTATTAGCTTACACTACATAGATACGCCGTCGGGATAATTCTTTTTAATGGTAAAAAAAATATTCGTTCAATTTGTCTCCGGGCATTGGAAAGAAAGGAAAGGTAATCCAGGTCCGATGATGCAGTAAAGTAAAGCAGTCAATTCACTAATTGACGGCACTAAACTAATGCACTAAAGCACAGCAGCGGCTGCTGGTTTAGCTGACAAGCTGAGTCCAACCAAGATTAGAGACGCTAACATAACAAGGGCAGAAGACATGTTTTTAGGAACCAAGAACGGGATATTCGCACAAGTCTAAGATAATCTAAGTAACTCCATTTAAATTTACTAAAATATAACCTTTGATATGTTAAAAAAAATTAAATTAATTTAGATTAACTCCATTAACGAATTGTAACATGAGATTGAAATAAAAAAAAATTAATTAATTTTTTAAGAAAAATTTCAAAAAATAGACTGAAATTAAATTAAAAAAAAACATTAGCATAAAAATTCCCCCTATCTAATTAGAAAAATAAATAAATCTCACCAATAAATTGAAGACAGTTACACTAACAATAGATGCCCGTGCAATAAAACAGATGGTAATTCGATAAAAACACTTGAATTAAATTCTATGGCACCTAGCCAATAAACCGAAGCCGCGTGTGAAGCTCATGTTGAAAGCTTGTCGTTTTCGAAAACATGCACGTGTAGATAAATAAGACGCAAGTGTGTGATAGGAACATACGATAAGAACAAATGGGACTTTTAACAATTTTGGCAAACTTATCTTTGATTTTTCTTTTCTATTAAATAAATAATTGTTGAAGGGAGAGGGCGACACCCGACCTTTGCTTGCACTCAATGCTTATTATGCACAGGGTGACGTGTAGGGCTAGATGCATCCATGCATGCATGCATGCATTTGCTTGCTCTGGCGGTCCATCATGTTTCTTTCTCAGGCGGCGCATGAAGACTGGCCAGACAGACACACTTCACGATCTCCGTGACGGAGGTGAAAGCTGCCTTTTTGATTTTGTATGATCAACACTCTCCTCTGTTGCAGTGGGAGGATTCCTACTGGAGAGCTTCAGACACACTTCATGATCATCTCCGTGAGTCGTGACGGAGGTGAAAGCTGCCTTTTTGATTTTGTATGATCAACACTCTCCTCTGTTGCAGTGGGAGGATTCCTACTGGAGAGCTTCAGACACACTTCATGATCATTCCTGCTGGAGAGCTTCGGTGGTTAACACAGACTGATCAGTACGTTTTTGGTATTGAATTAAGAATAAAACTTGTCCACTCAGCGATAATCATAAGTTTTCGATCTTGAATATTCATTTCAAAATATTAGTATTAACTATATCATTATCTGTGTTACACTACAAGCCGAACTAATTTTCCTTGAATGTAAAAGAATATTCAGATGTTGTTAATGTAATTTTTAACATTTTTTTTATTATATAAAGATAAACATAGTATAATATAGTTTACTTGATATATTCAAAAATAATATGAATGGTCAATTAAAATATAATTTAATTTAAAAAATCAAAATAATATTTTTTTAAATATTAAAACATCAATATGTCATATCGACTAAAATAAACTCAAATTAACTTGTTAAATTCGTTACCTAAGTCATGAAATATTGATAATTTTATTGAAAATAAAATAAAATAAAAATTTATTAAACTCAATCTTTAATCAACTCAATGTTAATAGTTAAAATTAAAAATAAAATTTAACTAAAAAAATAAATCAAACCAACCTGACTTGACTTGCCAAACATAGATTATGAGATCAACATAACCCTATAGAAAACAAATTAAAATAAGTTATGAAACTTAATTCTCAATCACTATTAAAAGATGAAATTAAAAGGAATCAACTTAAAAAAAGCCATTAAATATCGCCCGAGTCAACTGACTAAATTTATAATCTAGGTCGTAAGACTTGAATAATATCATAGAAAACAAACAAAAAAATATTATGAAGTATAATTTTCAATCAACCCAATATGAAAGGATAAAATGAAAACAATTCAACTAAAAAAGTTTTTTTAAAAAAAACTAGAGTTAATCGACCTAACCTATGACCCGAATCAAAAAATAATGATGACCCCTTAGAAAGAAAATGATAAATTATAAATCTCAATTTCCTATCAATTTAATGTTGAATGATTAAAGTAAAAAAATAAAAAAAAATTAACATCAATCAATCTAGGTCAGGAGACTACGATAATCCATATAAAGCAAATAAAAAAATGATAAAATCTAATTCTTAATTAACTCACTGTTGAATGATGAAATTTTAAAAAAAATAAAAAAATGACTAAAAAAACCCAAGTCAACGTAATTAACCTGCAAAACTTGCAACTCGAGTTATAAGACTATAATAACTATATAGAAAGAAAATAAAAGAAACTATTATGAAATTCAATTCTCATTTAAATTAATGTTAAACGATAAAGTTAGTAAAAGAAATTAATTAAAAAGGGGATAAGAAAAATAAACCAAATCAATATAAATAACTCACATAATTCGCGATTTACATCATGAGATTAAGATAACTACATATAAAAAAAATTAAAATAAATTATGAAGTTCAATACCCAATAAATCTAATTTTAAAGGATAAAATTAAAAACAAATCCTAAATTTTTTTAAGAATCAAAGTGAATAAGACCTTGATATTTTATTATTCATTGTTATAGTGAAATTTTAAGTCTTTATATTATATGTTAATACGTAAAACAAATCTTACCTCTTATTAAAAAAATAAATTACAAACTAGTACCAATGAAATTATTTAAAAAATCTTGGCAATTCCTAAAAAAAATAGGTCAATTTTATTTTTCATTTCTTCAACACGTACAATCCTATATGACATAAAATAAGCTTTCTAAATACCTTGTGAACACTTTATTTTTAATATCGAGACTATGAAACTACTTTAAAATAATCCAATAAAGATAAAAAAACAAAATTAAGAAAATATTAGAAGTATATTAAAATTCATCAAATTATTAAAGGAAATATTTAGTTATTTTTCTAAAACGAGGACTTTTATTATTTTTTTAGATTAGCTTAAACTTACTTGAATGAAAGGATTTACTAAACTAAATTTGATATTGTAAAGCAGACTGCTACTCGAGCATAATGATGAAGGAATGTTGGCTCAAAACCGAGCCATTTGAAAGTGGACTTAAAATTGAGCCTCTTGATGGTCCAAATAGGCTCAAAATCGAGCCTAATGCTAAATAAAAATAAGTTTAAATCAAGCCCATCAGTCAAACAAAGTGGGCTCAGGTTAAGGAGCCTAGTCTTTATATATATATATATATTTTAAGCAATTCTCCCTTTCAATGTTGATATAAATCCTCACCATCGTGGAGCTCATCAAACGATGTTAAAACACATTCATACCATGGGCATGCTTATTTGAACATCCCATTATGTAGTGAAGAGTGCAGTCATTAACTTGAATGTCTTGTCTTACAAGTTAAAAGTGTAGCCACCCATTCGAACATTTTATTTTACAAGCTAGTTGTGTGGTTGTCTGCAATAAAAGTAATTATGCTTCATGATTCTCCTTATGGTTAGGATACACAATATGTTTGCATCCTTTCTCCTCATCATGCAAAATCAAATAAATATGTTAGCTTGAATATGAATAAAGATGGCCCTCTTCCAATATTTCTGAAGGTAATGAACAGCCAATCTTTTCTTTCTTTTATTCGTTTATCGTCATCTTGAAGGCTAAAATAGATTCAGATTTTTTTTTTACCAATAATTTCAAGTACGGGTTAATATGCCAAGATAAGTGTAAATTGGATCATGCTTGTGCTATATCTATGCAATGCAGTTTGAATATGTGGAGTGCAAGGTGAGGAATAGCAAAGCTTCCTCTGCCAACCCAGTGAAGGCAGTGGTTTCAAAGGTAGTCTCACGGCTTAACTTGGATCAGGATACGGCTTGGCTTGGATCAGGATAACTACAAGCAAATTTTGAAGGGCGTAACAGGAAGCGTCTGCCCTGGTGAAATCCTTGCTTTGATGGGTCCTTCTGGTAGTGGTAAAACAACCTTGTTGAAGATTATAGGAGGAAGATTGAGTTAAGATGTTGAAGGAAGAATAACGTATGATGATATCCCTTATAATGCAGCTATTAAGAGAAGGTTAGCGAACTTTAAAGAAAGCTCGTGTCTCGTTCGTTGATGGCTGACTACTACTTACAAATCATTATTCTGTATCATTGTTATGCCTTTAAATGAATTTTTTGTGCATAGGATTGGATTTGTGACACAAGATGATGCGCTCCTCCCGCAACTCACAGTGGATGAAACTTTAGTCTTTGCTGCATTTTTAGGACTTCCAGGAGACATTAGCCGGCAACAGAGGTACGCCAGAGTTGAGATGATTATAAGGGAGCTAGGCCTTGAGAGGTAACGTGTGCAACGTTATAAGTACAGTAGGTAGTTGTTTGCTCTTGAGTTATAACTTTGTGAGAAGATTATTGCATGATCACAGATGTTGGCAAACAAAAATGGAGGGGCTTTGTTTTTTTTTAATTATTTTATTAATGTTTGGCTAGCTTGTGCGTAATATAACTAATCCCAAGGATTAGGATCTTTGTAAAAGGAATATCCGGAGGAGAAAGAAAAGTAACCTTTGGTTATGAAATTCTTGTCGACCCTTCATTACTGTTACTTGATGAACCAACTTCAGGCCTTGATTCCACATCAGCCAATAGACTCCTACAAATCCTTCAAGGA